CCCCTCGCATTCAATGCCGTCGGCCTCATGGTATATGATTCACTTCCAGTTCACTAATTAACACATTTGTGACCTACATTTGCCGGTTCCTGACTCTCCTGTACACACTTGATTCACCTTTAACCTAGTGTAAACTTTTTGCCATTTTCTTGAAAATTATCATTAAAGATTGTAAAAAGTCTAAAAACGTTAATTGCTTAATATTAAAGGAGTAGTTTACTTTTAAAAAAAACTTTTGCTGATAATTTACTCACCCCCATGTCATCCAAGATGTCCATGTCTTTCTTTCTTCAGTCGAAAAGAAATTAAGGTTTTTGATGAAAACATTCCAGGATTTTTCTCCATATAATGGACTTCAATGGGAACCAAACAGTTAAAGGTCCAAAAGACAGTTTCAGTGCAGCTTTAAACGATTTACGATCGCTCATTTAAAAAAAACAAAACAAAGTTTAAGTTTTATAAGCTCAAATGGTCACCTTGCTCTGTTCTGTGATGCGCGTTCGTGACTCTCCTGTTGGAACTTGTTTATCAAAATGAACGAGTCTTTTTTCGTGTCATTTGGTTCATTCAACGAACGAAATCTGGAAAAGATTCGTTCAAAGTGAACTACTCCTTTAAGGACGAATATGGTGAAAAACTGTATGACATTTAACAATACATGTAATTTTAATGTACATTAGCGCAAATTTAGGTTGTTTTGGAAGTAAAATGAGTCACTTTATAATTTATGGTAATGCAGATTAAGTTCCTAAGAAGTCCCGCATAATTTGATTACATTTTGGATACTGAAGGTTCCCAAAGCGAGTGCAAGTCTCTTTTTGAGAGTCTTAAATACTTTTCTGTAAAATAACGATCAAATACTGGCAACAGAGAGGTCAGCAATCTACTGTAATTCTACGGTATGAATACTGTAAAAATTGCCAAATGTGTGAAATGGGTGAAAACGAAAAAGTATTTTCTAGTATTTAACAGTAAAATACTGTAAGCAGAGATGCCAGCAATATACTGTAATTCTATGGTATTAATACTGTGAAATTACAGCCACACTCTCAGAAAAAAAGGTACAAAAGCTGTCACTGGGACTGTACCTTTTCAAAAGGTAAACTTTTGTCCATTTTAGGTGCTAATATGTACATTTTAGGTGCCAATATGTACATTTTCGGTGCTAATATGGACATTTTAGGTACTAATATGGATATGTAGGTGTTAATATGGACATTTATTTGCTAATATGTACATTTTAGGTGCTAATATGGACATGTATGTGTTAATATGGATATTTATTTGCTAATATGTACATTTTAGGTGCTAATATGTACCATTAAGGTACTAATATGCACCCTTTAGGTACAAAAGCGTACTTTTTGAAAAGGTACAGCCCCAGTGACAGCTTTTGGACCTTTTTTTCTGAGAGTGCATATACTGTAAAAAAATACAGTTCTGTGGTTTTCAATTTACAATTTATATATTAAAATATAGAAATGTTCTGCATGTATCTCTTGCAGTAATTACACACACACTCATACATAAATGTGTGTATATGAATGCATATATGTTAAACAACCTACAATGATATTTATCAGATATGTGGTGTGGATTTTATGTACCGGTAGTCTAGTAAATTTTTATAGACTTTTAGTTGTCGTGCAAGTCATGCAATTTACCACTTGCAATAGTCAGAACATTTCAATCAGTTAGTTGCACTATTACACTTTGTCATTTTATTTTTCGCAGTGAATGTCTGGCACAGCTGGCAGATTTTCCTGTAGATTTAAAGTTTGCAGGATTCAGATGTACAGTAATTCAGACTTAGCTTTGGTTGCCATGTGTATGCAAGTCCTTTTTGAATTATGACATGATAAAGAGAGTTATTGTTATTTCTGTAAATATAATATAAGCCCTTTGAAAAGCAAGAACATCCATTAATTACACACCGAGCTTAGAGTGATCAGGGAGGGAACAGGTGCTGATGGCCTCTGTGCCTGCAACACCAGCTCTCATATCCCCATACCCAATGATCCGAGGAACACACCACCGTAGTTCTGAGAGAATAGGCCCCAGCTGCGCGTCACACCTCATAACGCCTCAACGCTGCAGTGTTGGGAAGTTTTAGGTGGGTCAGCAACAGCGAAAAGCGTTTCTAGGAATGCAAGGAGTCATGTTTTATCACGGTTGCTATAACGGACTATTTGAAGTGCATGATTCAGCGCTAGCTCATGAGTAATGTCACAAGAATCCAAGTTAATGAGATCAATCAATCTATTGGAATTATCTCTGGTCCTCACATGAAAAGAACCATAATTTCGGGTAATAAAATTTGAGAATTTATGAAATAAGAGTTTAAGTAGAAACATGCCCCGTCTGTAGCAAGAATGTGAATATCTCTGGAAGAAGAGCTGCTGCTATGATGAGAATTCAAAAATTTGGATTATATTGCTTAAAAAATAATATGAAGTCTTGAATCCATGAATCCTGGATCTGGTTATTGGTGGATCAGATTAGCCAAAAAATAGCTAGTTGGGGAATGTGATCAAAAAGCTTGTGGAACCCTTGCTGGCTAAAGAAATAATTCAGCCATAAATTAAAATGCTGTCATCATTTACTCTCCCTCATGTTGTTCCCGACCTGTATGAATTCTGCTAAACACAAAAGAAGATATTTTGAAGAATATGGGTAAATAAACAGTTGATTGGCCTCATTAACTTCCATATATGGATAATGTGATTTGTAATCACAACATTTTTTTTCTTTTGTCAAATCAACTTAAATAATTTATGTAGTTTATATAACAATGTTTTGAGTTTCTGATGATTAAATCAATCTCTTTCATTCTATTAACTCAATGTTTCCATTTCAATGAACTTAAAATTTTAAGGCAACCAGGTTACTTAATTTTTTAAGTTAAACCAACAATATTTTTTTACAGTGTATATGTTTGGTTACAGATTATTCTTCAAAATATCTTCTTTTGTGTTCAACAGAAGAAATAAATTCATACAGCAGGTTTGGAACAAGGGTGAGTAAATTTATACATTTTTGGATGAACTATCCCTTTAAGCTACAAGAAGCCTGTTATGAACATCAGCTCATAATATTTGGGGCACCTAATAGCATGTGAAGATATATTAATGAGCACAGTGAAATAATCAGCACCTGTTACTGTTGAACATAAAAAAATGAATACAAACCTGCACACATTCACTAATTTCTTCAGCACAGATATTGGATTTTGACTATAAGCTGCAGTACGAACCAGAGTTTATGGTATTTTTTTTTAAGTAAAAAAAATTATTTAGTTGATTTTTTTTTTTTTTCTTGAAGTACAGTTTTGGTGTTAACTGCCAAGTCACAAATACAATCTTGCATCTTACAGTTATTTGCCAGTTATATCAGGAATATTTAATATCCATCCCATGTGTGGATGCAACATATAATTATTAAACAAGTGCTTTTATCTACAGCACCTTACAGTAGCAATCTAGGGCGTAGTTCCATAATGTAACATTTCCAAATGAAACCGGTTATTCAATGATAGAAAGTGCAGTGACTTGATTTAACCCGTCGTGAAATGATTGGATCGCAAACACCACCTGCACTCACTTTTAAGGAAGCCTTTGACCAAGACGTGGAGGCTGATGGTCAAGTTCACCCTCGAGAGCATTTCAACGCGTCCCGATATTACATTTCGATATAAAGTTCAGAAGAAACATGTTTTTGGAGCGTTTTGACTAACTTAACTTTAAGCGTTTTCCTCAAGGGCACAATTGTTGCCCATTCTGGGGCTCAAATCGATAACCTTCTGGTTGCCAGCCTTAAACTAGAACTACACCAGACCACGCTAGTTTCCAGCAGCCCACAATAGCTTGATCACAGTCTCTGATACATTAGTTCATGCCTCTGGAATTCCCAGTGGAATCGGAGTCCTGTGGAAATGTGACACAACCCAGCACTTCCATTCCCTATTAAAATGCGGCCATGGGACGTGGGTTCAATGCAATTCTTGCGAGTCAACGATGAGGTTAGAAATACCATCAGGCTTCTGAAACCATATGTCCCCAAAATAGGTTAGCAGAGGCCTTTTAACCGACCCCATCAGGGGAGGTGGGAGACCTTCGTTCACAGGAAAGATTAAGATACCATCAGGAAGAGGTGCCAAGAGGGATCAGAGTGGAATGGGCCGAGGGATGAGGGGTGAGGCTGTGTGTCTCTGTCCCCGGCCGGATCGGACCCTCTGAAGTGCAACGGAGAGACTTGATTGACGTGGATGCAAGTCATGAATGGTTATACTGTGTGTAGTTATCATTATTGCCCGCTTATGAGAAATCTGCTTACACTCTAAAAAATGCTGGCTTGTTTAACCCAATTTTGGGTAAAATATGGACAAACCCAGCCCATTGGGTTAAAATGTAATTTAAAAAATGTAACTAAAATAAAGTTTGTCTTTAGTCAAAATTCTCATTTGACAGTACACTCTAAATGATGCTGGGTTGTTTTAACCCAACATTTGGGTCAAATATGGACAAACCCAAATGTTGGGTTAAAAATGTCATTTTAAATTTGAACCCAACTTCAACTTTAACTTTCAACTGTAATTTTTTAATTACATTTTTAACCCAACATTTGTGTTTGTCCGTATTTGACCCAAATTTGGATTGAAACAACCCAGCATATTTTAGAGTGTACTGTAGCATGTACCCAAAAGTACCCATGTACAGTATTCTGAAAAAAAATAAATCACTATTATTTGCAAATTAATATTAGAGCTATATAAATTAACTCAGGAATGCATGTGATTCATTTAAAATATTTTAACACAATCTTTAAAAAAATATGAATCATGAATTTTCAACCTTTTCAATTAGTTGTTAGATATTTTAATTCACTGACAGCACTGAAACTAAATTGTATTTCACCAGTGGCTGATTTTGAGAAGGCTTTTGACAGCATGTTTTCCCTGTCTTCTGTTTTAATATAGATCGATAGTCATTTTAGCCGACATTTTCGGCTAAAAAAATATTCCCGGAAACTGAGTGCCAATAGATGGACTTCAGGACTGCATGCATCAGCCAAGCAAGATGAATGGGAATGCTTACTGATAGCTCTCGCCATGTAAGTTAAAACTCTTTGGTTTGCAATCTAAAAAAAACTGGGTTGTTTCAACCCAAATTTGGGTTAAATATGGAAAACCCCAAATGTTGGGTTAAAAATGCAATAAAAAATTTTGCAGTTGAAAGTGAAAGTTGAAAGTTGGGTTAAAATTTGAAATTACTTTTTTCACCCAACATTTGTGTTTGTCCATATTTTACCCAAATTTGGGTTCAAACTAGAGGGCTGCATTGGGATTGGGTCCCGCCGGGTCCCGCGGGACCCAACGCAAATCTCGCGGGAGCGGGCGGTTTGAACTTTGATGCGGGCGGGAATGGGCGGCGAAAAAAAACGGCTGCGGGATCAGGACGTAGCCTTCACATGATGGAGAATGAGAAAATGTCAATAAATGACGTGGAAAATAACCTCGAAAGAGGTATTTTCAGCACAAAAACTAAGAAAGGCAAGTCTGACATTTGGAGAAGTTTCTCAATTGTCTGTGACAAAGACGGAAAGGAACTGGACTTTATTTATTGTGACAAATGTGCAAAAATACTCGTCTATAGCCTATTGTATTTATATATAAATACATTTATACATTTATTTAATACAAATACATTTCATTTTTATCAAAACCTTTTAAACCTTTTTTTAACATTTATCAAGCACCATCACAGGGCACATAAAAATAGACTGCTTTGCAAAAAATATATATATAATTTTTTTTTTTTTTTTTTTTTTTGCAAAGCAGTCTATTTTTATGTGCCCTGTGATGGTGCTTGATAAATGTTAAAAAAAGGTTTAAAAGGTTTTGATAAAAATGAAATTATATTTGGATGTATTGTGTTTTGTCTTTCTGTGTTCTCACAAGCTACAGTAGCTGCTTTCAGACTTGCTTTCTGTTCATTTACAATAATTACATTATTATCAAGCCTGACGGAATACAATAGCCAAAATCAAAGTACTTGAGAAACGCGCGGTAGCCTAAGCATTTTAAATGTCCCCGAACGATAGCCAGGATTCATCTTCCTGATCAGTGCATCAGAATACATGCGGGCCAGGGAAACGAAACAAACAACCCCATGAATCTCTTTAATAATAGCAATACAAATAAGTGTTCTTTTTCCTGCGGGACGGGAGAAGACACAAAATCAATGCATCTCTATTATTGTGCGGGAATAAATTCTCAGTTTTGCGGGTGCGGGCGGGAGCGGAACACATACGTTGCGGGAGCGGGCGGTAATGGTCAGAAATTCGGCGGGCGCGGGCAGGAGCGGGATGAAGAAAACAGTCCTGCGCAGGACTCTAGTTCAAACAACCCAACATTTTTTGGAGTGTAGGCATACCACAGTCCCAACCGCAAATGACACAGGTTGAACTAGAAGTTGTGCATTTGCTGAAAGAGCAGTGTGATGCGCCTGATTCATTGCATCATTTCTTGCACGTCATCATGTTTTCCTCTTTGTTCATTTGACAAGTTGTGCTGTTGCAGGCAACATTTGTTTAAATCTGGGACACTGAGACACTTCCTGATTCAATTATGCTCTGTTTTCTCTATCAATATCTACATTAATCCAGATATTTTTGTTTCAAACGCATCTGCAGTGTTTTCCAAAAGTTTCACGGCCGACACTGAAACATTGGAAAATGTTAAATATTTGTAAAACATATTACCGAGAGACAAGACATAATAAAGGTGTCAAGCTGGCATAATCATTTTATTAGGGAAATATCCCACCACTTATTTGTCCGTACAGATCGTACTCAATCGCGATTCCATGTCTGGTCAATTTAACTCATGCAAGTTTTGATACATGCAAGTCGATGTTCTGTCATCTTTGCAGGAATATAGCAAGCAACACTGAAAATGAATATCACAGCAATGCCAGAACAACCATAGATAACTCATTATGTATCACATGACTATACATGCGTCATCATCGTTTCGAATACCTCCAAGCTAAAATGTGAAAACTGTGTGTTCAAATTTATCGTAGAGAAAAATATTACATGTAGACGTAAATTACCTTTAGACGAATAGATGAAGTAGCATCACAGATATCCTTTGCAATCAACAACCAGGGTTTTTCCAGACCGCACCTTAAAGAACTTCCTTGTGCCCTAAATAGATCTTTTTTTTCTCCATCTCCACTTCCTTTGGCCGCAGCATAAAATCTATTTTCGGCGATAGTACTTAATCCAGTTCTCCAAGCTCTCCAGTGATTGAATTAAAAATACAGCGGGAGCAAAATGAAGACAACAAGCTGTCTTAAAGCCAATGGAGTCCAGTGACAAAAGCCTTGTCATGCTCTGGTGGGGTCTTGCCTCTAATCCAGAGGGTTTTAGAGGCAGCAGACACTGGCTTGTTGTTCTCTGGCGGGGATGGCTAGGCGCTAAGTAACTAGCAGAGCTACTGGCGACAGTTCCGTCCAGGAAAGATGGCCTGCTAATCCTAATCACGCCTGAGAATGCCGTCTGGGTCACATGACCTTTCGCTAGCTTTAATGGAAGGGGTCATAATTGGGATTTATCACCGCGGAGGCAGCCCGCAGGAGAGGTGCCAGTCAAAGGGTTCTGGGTCCGGGATGTCTGACGGGTATGGCGGAGAAGAATGAGTCATCTGAACGCTTATAGACACATTAAGGCCACGCTGAGCACGAAGAAACATCAGACACTCATTCAAATGTACCTTTCGAAGAAGTGTTTGAATGAATATATGTCAGTCATTAGAGTAGGTTAGGACACTGTAAAGATTTGTTATCACATTTTTTCTTTTGTCAAATTAACTTAAATAATGTATTTAGTTCAGATAACTTATTATTTTGAGTTTCTGATCTCCTTCTTTGTATTAACTCACTTTTTCCAGTTCAATCAACTTGAAATTTTAAGGCAACCAGGTTACTTAATTTTTTTAAGTTAAACCAACAATATTTTTTTTTATCTGCTAACACTTTATTTTGATGCTCCCCAACAGACATCTAAGCAAGTACACGTCAACTAACCCGAACCCTATACTCTAACAGTCTACAAATACTCGAATAGACTTAGTTGACACGCTGTAAGTTATAGTTTGTAGAATGTATAAAGTGGAATATCAAAAATAAAGCGTAACCTCGTGCTTAAATAAATGATTTTCTTGAAGAAATGAAATATCTAAAGATTCTTAAATCAAGAAACATTTACTTGAGAAGCAAAATTAGTGAGTTTATGCTTAAAAAAATATCAAATATCTGTCAGAGGGGTAAGAAAAATAACCTATAATAATAAATAACACGTTTGTTTTTCTTACCCCTACTATTTTTTCCTGTTTTAAGCACTTACTCAAATAATTTTTCAGAAAACTGAAAGACTTAAGTTGGTATGAAACTAAAGTTGCCATATATGATGTATATCCAAGTGAAACAGCTTTCCAAACAAGAACAAATGTAGGATGGGACTTGATTTTGTCAATGAGGGATTTATTTGGATTGTTGTTGTTTGCTATTGGTCGATCTTATGTGAGTGACAAGTTGTCCCTCGCACCAGTAAACATCAATAGAGAAGAAAAGAGATATTGCTGCAAGGGGGAGGGGGAGTTATTAGTTATTATAGTATTGCTAAATACTTCCTGTTCTTACTTGTAGTTTTATGTTGTCTTGTGGGAACATAAGATCTAGGTCTTTCCTTCTATGCGGTGTTGTGTTTGAGACATGCATTGTGTTGTGACATCAACACGTACAAACTTCAGTGGAAACATGAGTGCAGATTTTTCCCCTCAAATCCTGTTACTACTTTTCTTGGTTAACATGAGGACTCTCCTTAAGTGTAGGCAGAAGTACAGATTGTTGTTTGAGATTTGCTGGAGGGTCCTCTTCAACAAGAAGGCCTTTTCTGTGTCTGGTGTAAGTCTATTCAGGGTGTCCTAATCCTGTTAACAAGATCCCTGACTGTGGGTGTCTGGGAAGTTGGATCAATATCAAATTCTCTCTTTTCACTGTTCTGCTCTGGCAAGTGATAGGCCAGCTTAAGAGGGTCTGGCAGGAGAACATGTCGCTCCGTGACTTTGCTGTACCAACAGAGATTCAAACGAATTATCTTGCTTCCAAAATTACTATTTTACAAGCTAGAGGTTTAGAAATGTATTTATTCGTCCCGTTCGGAGTCATTGTGTAGTTCTGTTGCTCATTCTTGGGTTTAGGGATTTAAAGAAAGTATTAAACTTCAGCAGATAACTTGTTTGTGCTTCGGCCATATCATGTGGTTTGTTGGTAGTTTTCTAAGCGACCCGACATGCAATATTCATCTGATTGTGATTCATTTCAAATGTTTAAACATGATTAATACTAATTGTGATATACAATTCTGACATTAATTCAGCTTCAACCTTTTAAACACAAATTATTGTAATATATTTTAATCAACTGACAGTAGCTACTAATTATAAATTATATTTCACCAATTCCCAATTTTATGAAGGATTTAACAGCATCTCTTCTATAAGGAGTTTTAATATATAATCATCCGTCACAAGACATGTTTGGTTAAAATATTCCCGGAACAGATTGCCATTAAATTAAAAATTGAATTTTAAATTAAATTAAGTTTATTAAGTTAAAAAGTTAAATTAAATTAATATTTATTTAAACATTTATAACTAATATTTAAAAAAGATGTATTCATACAGTAATATTTATAAATATATTCATTATAATAATTTTTTTAATTATTTACAAAATATTAAATATCACTTATAAATTCAACATTTTAAACTAATAATAATAATTTATTATTATATATAAGGTGTGCTGATGTTTTCAAAATATTACATAATTTGAAATATGTATAATGATAATTAATATATTTTATTATAATTTTTTTATTCATTTATATTAAATATGTAGTGTGTGTGTGTGTGTGTGTGTGTGTGTGTATGTATGTATATATATATATATATATATATATATATATATATGTGTGTTAGGGCTGTGCAAAGATTAATTGCGATTTACATTCTATATTTGTGTGTGCTGTGTATCATTATTTTGTATATATATATATACACACAGTATTTATGTGCAAATAATTCTTAAATATATACATGCATGCATATTTATTTATATATACAAAATAATTATACACAGCACACACACACATATATTATGGAAACACAAAGTTTTATTTTGGATGCAATTAATCACGATTAATCTATGCAGAGCCCTAATATATATACAGTATATATCATATATATCATATAGTATATATAATAATACTCTGAATCGAATTAACAGTAGATATCATCAGTGGTCCCAATTAGCAGGGTCCACGCTCAGGTGAACAGTGGTCCTCCTCATCAGACATGAAATATGCTCTCAATTAATCACGGGGGGACGTAACCTGACCTGGGGTATTTTCTCATCTTCGTCTGGACTGTTGGGGCTGGATAATCCAAAGGCCTTGATCTATCATTGCCCTGTTGGATGTCTGCTGACTAATGTACCAGTAAATGATAAAATAAGTACGAGGGGGTGGTACAAGTCAAGTGGAACTTAATTACCTCTGACATGAGTTTTCGAAGAAAAGAAAACGGATACCAGATCACACACGTGGGGATTGTGTGACAACAATGACCAGCTCTCTATGACCAACAGTAAAGGTAATGGATACCACATGACGTGAACTTCTAACAGTTCTTTATAGTTTTAAAGCACACGATGAATCGTACAATACTGGAAATCTAATTAATTCTTTTCCGATCTATACCACCCAGCAATCCGCCTCCAGAAAACATGTTTGTGTGTGTGACCGAGGCGAAATGACACGTCCTGAGAAAAAGTCAGTCTCCAGGGCCCTTCGATACAGCAAGCGTCCCGTGTTTCTCCTGGGGGTCCGAGCGCTGTGTGCATCTGGAAGAGATATTTGGCTGAAGTTCGACCCAGAAGGCTTTCACAATGTGCCTTCCCATCTCTGAAACACATCAGAGTGGAGATAGATGTCAGGAAGACGAAACGCAGCGTTACCGTCCGAGAAGAACAAGAGGGTTTGTTGGACGTAATGGCACGGAACAATTAAACTAATCCGATGAATCACAAACACAAAACACATGGCTGATTTTCTGTTTATTTCATTAGAAACATTCATCACGATCCGTCCAGCCAACACGTATTATATTTCGAAAAATGATTTCGGATGTCCAAGATGTTTATTTCGGGATCTGGTGAACCATGGTTTCAGCTGCACGCCCTCCGTGAACTCTTGCACTCTGACTGCTAATCTCGAATCGCTCTCGATGTTCACACAGGAGCTTTTGGCCGTGCTAATTGTTTTGCTTATTTTTATCTGTCTTCCCATTTTCCTTTCAGCGCCGAGCGGAGGAGCAGCCAACACGAAGCAGGTCCAACAACATGCCTCTCAGCACGAGCGGGAAGTCTAATTTTCACATCTGCTCAAGTGAGAGGCTTAAATCAACAATCACTTAAGATAACAAGACTATATAAATTACAATGGCAATGAATTTTACTAGCAAAGCTCTTAAACACCCAATATTGTGGGCGTCTGAAGGCCCTGCTGAGTTGAGCAACTGCAGTGAGAGTGAGTAACCGGTGACTCAAAGAAGTGGCAGAAGTTCAGATCGACTGTCCCGCAGGAAGCGGCGCTGAAGGTGTAAATGATGCTGCCATATTTCATGTTCCTGGCAACGAGCGGCTGCATGCGTTATCGGCACTGAATGCCAGGAAATTTGCTAAATGGGTAAATATTACATTTTAGTATTTCTAAGGAAAGCGTCGCTCAGAAGGAATGACCAGTGACTTACAAAGTGATACTTTCACTTTTATTTCACAGATAAAGCAGGATACAAATCTTATCTCACGCCCAATTAGTACGAATTCGTACGAGTGATTAAAAAGTGACTAATTCGTACTAATTCATACGACATCACTCGTACGAATTCGTACGATTTGTCTAAACCCATGTGATGGTTGGATTTAGGGGCGGGGTCAGGTGTAGGTCATTCATACGAATTGGCCAATTCGTAAAATATGTACGATTTAGCAAAAATCATACTAATTCTTACGTACGAGTGAGGTCGTATGAATTGTTACGAATTAGCCACCTCGTAAAATTTGTTGGACGTACATTTTACTATCATTCAGAAGTTTTTGAACGGAATCTCTTACATGTATGCTCACCAAGGCTGCATTTATTTGATCAAAAAAATGCAATAAACAATTTAAACAATTGTGATAGTTTTACAATTTAAAAATGACTTTTTTTATTTTAATATATTTAAAAAAATTATATATTGTTAAGTCATTTATTCCTGTGATGCGATGCTGAATTTCCAGCTTCATTACTCCAGTCTTCAGGGTCGCATGATCCTTCAGAAATCTTTCTAATTTGGTGTTTAAGACATTTCTGATTATTATCAATGTGGAAACCGTGATGCATTGTTTTTTTCAGGGGTCTTTGATGACTGTTTGTGACATTATAAATCTCTTTACTGTCAGTTTTGATCAATGTATTGCACCCTTGCTAAACAAAAATATTGATATTTTTTTCCCAAAAAAAAAAAAAAAAAATGTAATCTGACACCGAACTTTTGAAGGAGGCATCTGAGTCAAACCTAAAGACCAGAAAATCATAGAAATTGATCTTTAGACTTGGGAAAAGTGGTAACGCTTCCTTTGACAGTACAGTACTTACCTAGAAAGTACTGGCTAATATAAGGTAAGTACATGAAACAGGGGTAGGTTCAGGGTTAGTACTAGTTATTACCCAGTAATTGTAGTTACTAAAAGTATTTACATGGGTAACTGGACTGTAAAAGGAAGCATTACCGGAAAAGTCAATGATGATAGTTTGTAGGTATTTACAAAGCCATAAGTGTCATTGATTCAGGACTTAAGTCTGATTCATGTGTTCGATTATTGTTGAAATGATTATTTGCTCTCTCCCAGATGAGACTTTCCTTTTTTAATATGAGTTGGGACTGTTTGCCTAGAGTGGCATCTGCTGGGAAAGTATGGATGTGTATTGTTCTTCATAGCCATTATTATAAAATGAATAGCTCGTTATACTGATAATCTGCCTCTAGGCTCTCAAAATTCATTTGATTTATATTTTTAGTTTATATTCAATATACTATAGTATAGTCAAATTTACCACGTCAATCATTTTAGTGAATATCAAATTAAAGATCAGCCTAAATCCATACATCGTATGACTTCAGTAGATTTGAATGGACTACTTGTATATGATACTAATAAAACAAGTTTTTGTCATTTTTAGTGCTTGACAGCCAGTGTTCACCATTCATTTTTATTGTATGGAAAAGCATCTCCCGGTGTATTTGATGGCGAACAGACAGTCGATGGCTTTGGACTGACATGAAGGTGAGTAAATGATTTTCATATTTGGGTAAACTGTACCTTTAATATGTTATAAAAACTTCAATTAGTTTCCTGATAAATAGAGATTCCCGTGAGATGTGATGTTAAGTTTGTTGCTTGTATAGTCAGGTCAATTGATTTAGTGGTTTATACAATGCAGATTGTTTCAAAGCAGTTTCACATTAGTCAGCATGAAATCAATGGACAAATCTTATTTTATTAGGGAATATTGCAGTAGTTACTATAAATTATTTATCTTTGGTAACACTTTAGTTTAGGGTCCAATTCTCATTATTGCTTAATAGCATGCATTTTACTATGCTATTGGCTGTATATTAGTACTCATAAAGCAAATATTAATGCCATATTCTGCATGACCTTATTCTACATTCCTAATCCTACCCAATAGCTAACCTTAATATCAATCTTACAAACTATTAAAAAGCAGCAATTAGCATTTTGAGGCAAAAGTCACTCACAGGAGATCGACCAATAGCAAACTGCAAATTGCTTTCAGCAATAGTGAAATGTTCTAAAATGCGTGTCAATTGTGCAAAGTTCGTCAAGTTCATTTCAACTATGAAGCTGCTCTTAGGTAATAATGTCATTAAGCTCAATTCAGTTCAACTGTGATTTAATTCAGTTCAATAATGGTGTAGATGTTACTGAGTTAGTTCCATTTTCCACTTATTTCAGCTTTGTTCTCCTCCTATACTCTTAGAAAAAAGGGTTCATTGGGGTTATATGAAGCATAGGGTTCTTTACTCAACTCCAAAGAACTTTTAATGCCAAAAAAAGGTTCTATAGTGAAAAGAAAGAACCCCTTTGGCTTTTATTCATTCATATATTACATTCTGCAACATTTTGTAGTTGTAATTAAATTATTGTTTATTATATAACATTTTTTAATCATGCTGATTTTTGGAGGAGATGGCACTCTTCGTGTGATATTGATGAACTACATAAAATGATATAAAAATATACATTTTCTAACCCCCATATCTTGAATTTTGTGATCATTCACATGCATTCATAAAAACATTTTAGGGTCTTGATGTTTGTCATATAGAACCTTTTTCCTGGTTACAAAGCCCTAAAGGGTTCTTATTATTGAACCCTTAAAAAGAGTTCTGTATAGAACCTTTTAGGGGTTCCAAATACGTAGCGCTGATAGAACCGTTTAAGGTTCTATATAGAACCTTTTCTTCTAAGTCAGTGCAGGTGTGTGTTGTGATGTCCAGTCCAGATAGCTCTTAGAGTCTCTGTTGTGCGTCCATAGGAATTTCCTATCCCTTGTTCTGTGACGACACCCTCGGGCACTATCTCTTCTCAGGTTTGAGAGAGCATTAGTGTGCAGGACCCCCGCTGATGTTTGGATTGTGTATCGATCTTAATGGTCTCCCCGTCTCGATGACTTGTTAAGAAGAAAACGAGCATGCAGGGCTTCATTGCAGCATTGCGGTCGACCTCCAAACTGCTGTCTTGGGGATAATGCTTACACCACAGACCGTTTCTTTTTTCCATTTATTATAGCTGAGAACTGTGAGGAGCTCCTTCCGCTTGTTAGCATTCTGGAATGTGGCGGAATGTGCAAAAAACACGGTTTGCGGCAAGCATTCTTGGTCAGACGCTCATTTCAGGACATTTTCCTGACACGGCACCCACATGATTAGCACAAGATCGGAAAACACAATGCGTTGTGAGACAGCTGGGAAAGAGCGTACAGAGATGATTCAGAGAGCCAAACCACTGTTGTTGTTTTTATTGTCGTCTGAGGGACTGACTACATTTACTGTATCTGAAACATACTTTACGCAAGTAGAGGGTTGTGGGGTAAACTGTGACAATTTTCGGTTGTTGTATTTTTCTTACTTTGTCAAGTATACTACTATGGCAAGTTATTTCAGGATGCCTACTGTCAACTAAAATTAGAAGAAAGTATTTATAGAGCCACATGACAATATGGTCTAAATATTTCATTAAAATATGAAAATGTTGAAAATTTGCTCCATTGCCCCATCATAATGGTAAGTTGTGTCAGAACTGATTAAGATTTAAAAAAATATAATAATAATAATACTGTTCTTTATATTCATCAAAAATCCTGAATAAATATTTATCACAGTCTCCACATAAATATTAAGCAGCACAACTGTTTTCAACATTGATAATAATAATAATAATAAATGTTTCGAGCAGCAAATCGAATAATTTCTGAAGGATCATGTGACACTGAAGACTGGAGTAATGATGCTGAAAATTCAGATTTGTATCACATGAATTTATTAAATTTAAAAAAAAAAAAGAAAACAGTTAGGCTATTTTGAATGTAATATTTCACAGTATTACTATTTTTGCTGTATCATTCTAAATGTAGCCTTGGTAAGTAAGATACTTACTGTATTTCAAATACATAATACAACTTTTATTATGTATAAATATAAATTCTAGTGTAAATTATGTAGTTTTACACATTCAGCCTCTTGATATGATGTATTTATTAGACCTAGATAAATACTTTAATATGAAGAAAAAAAAAAGCTTTTTCCACACTGTAAAAAATGCTGGGTTGTTTCAAACCAAATTTGGGTCAAATATTGACAAACCCAAAGGTTGGGTTAAAAATGTAATTTAAAATTTTAACCCAACTTCAACTTTCACTTTCAACTGTAATATTTTTAACATTTATGTTTGTCCCTATTTGACCCAAATTTGGGTTAAAACAACCCAGCATTGTTTAGAGTGCAATCACAGGCAGTAATCGCTCCTGGATTAGACTTGACACATCTTACCCCCTGACTCTGATTTCTCCTTACATCCCTGACATGCGCTTGGGCAGTGTATTGGAAAATTGCGGTAAACAACCTCCACACTCAAGAGGGCGATAGAGTTCAAATTTAATGGTTAATAAACCGGATATGCTATTATTTCAGTACGTGGTTTCTCTTCAAACTGTTTGTAGAAGAAGATGCAATGCGTACCGTAGAATCGATTTTCCGTAGCGCATGTTATGTATCCGAAACACGTATGTTTCGGATATTTTTCTTTGGGGCATATAGCTATTGGGTGGGCCTGCCAACAGTGGCGATAGCACATTAAACGCATCTCGCGTTTCACTTTGAAACCCGATGAGTCTAATGCATTTCAACCAGTCGGGATAACATAGCATCTCTCGCTCCAGGTGCTGTTTCTTTGCTTCTGTCGCCACCAGAGACGTCGCCACCCAGGACGCTGAAACATCCCCAGGCCACGACTTCGAGAGCCTGTTTGTGGTGCCTTCGCCAGCTTCCCTTCTGCTCTTTTCACATCCATTCAGCAGTTTTATCACACCTCCGCAGGATCTCCATTGAGTTGATGTGTGTTTTGGGCCTGCAGGCAGTTGATGAAACATGACTGATTTGTCTAAGGTGCATGAGTGATGTCAGGGAGAGAGGAGGGACATATTTCCACCCGGCAGGTCAAGGGTCAGTGTGAGGTTACTCTTAAACAGTGTGGTAGAGCTAAGCAGGGCCTGGGGCTTCTGCCTTTCATAGAGTCGGAGACACAGCCTGTTTAGACAACAGTGTTGAGGAGCTGCTTCAGTTTTAACTGTCTGACTTCGTTTACACGCTAAAGAATGAGTCAAGGTGCTTAAGGTTCCTTTCTGTAAATTTTTTTGCTTTAGAGGAATAGTTCACCCACTCAAAAATGACATTTCTCTCATGTTGTTCCAAACACTTTCTTCTGTGTAAATGTACCAATAAAAGTGGATCTAGTGAGCTGCCAACAGAATCATTTTAGACTTTTATTCACATAAACATTCATCAATGCACACATCAGTTGTGGTAAACGGAAGCTCAAGCTTGTTCGCTTGAACCAATGAGGTTCGTTCTTGTTACGCAGCAGGTTTGAGCTTCAGCAAGAACCAATGAGGTTCATTCTTGTGTTACGCACCACCTTTGAGCTTCAGCAAGAACCAATGAGGTTCATTCTTGTTATGCAGCACGTTTGAGCTTCAGCAAGAACCAATGAGGTTCATTCTTGTTACGCAGCAGACTAAATTAAAACTAAATTAAAAAATTAAAACGACCAATTCTCTTCAGAAAATTTGGACTAAACCGCTCGATTCACATGGATTAGTTTTACGACGTATTTATGAACTTTTTGAAGCATCAAAGTGGTAGTTGTGAATCTGTCAATGGAGGGACAAAAAGCTCTCAGATTTCATCAAAAAGATCTTGGAATGGTTTGGAACGATGTGACGGTGAGTAATTAATGACATAATATATGATAAACAATGTTATTTCTTTCTGTCAGTGAAAAGCCAAAATGTTTGGTTTTATTTAAAGGGATACTCCACTTTTTTTGGAAATAGACTCATTTTACAACTCCCCCAGAGTTAAACAGACGAGTTTTACTGTTTTCGAATCCATTCAGCCGATTTTCAGATATTTAGAAGAATATCAGTAACAAGCCAGTTTCTGGTCTCATTGACTTCCATAGTATATATTTTTTCCTACTATGGAAGTCAATGAGACCAGAAACTGTCTGGTTACTGATATTTTTCTAAATATCTGAAAATCGGCTGAATGGATTCAAAAACGGTAAAACTCGACTGTTTAACTCTGGGGGAGTGGTAAAATGAGCTCCAAAAAAAGTGGAGTATCCCTTTAAAAGGTTTTATTTGATTGGAATAGCTAAATTATTGTCTTTTGCTTAAAGCAACAACAACAACAAAAAAAATGCATCGAAATGCAACTAGATATATCATGATCTTGATTGTCCGAAAGAGAATCACAGTTTTACACACCTGAAAAAAAAAGTCCTGAAATATTTCTGTTTGTCCATCAGCAGGAGGGGAGGAGGATCGGCAGGAGACTCGTGAAGGTGGCCACTGTCAGACAGGTATGAACAGCTCATCAGATGAAAAATGAAGGTGCTGTTTTGTAGACAGTGCAAGTGTAATTAGCCCGGACAAAGGAGGTGGTCTACGCTTAGTAAAGCTCCTGTTAACCTAACGGGGTCGACAGGTTCACATACGTATGATGTAAACGCAACTCCTTAAAGGAATGTTCCAGGCTCAAGTTAAGCTCTATGGACAGCATCTGTGGCATAATGTTGATTATCAGAGAAAAAAACACTCACTTTATATTACAGTCATGTTCCCTGTGTACATACTATACTTATAATTGCAATAACTGGGTAATAATTAGTTACTAATCCTGAACCTAACCTTAATCCATGTTTATTACCTACTGTAGCACTTTCTTAGATGAGAACACTGCAAGTAGACGTAAATGCATGTACTATAAAATAAAGTGCAACCCACTTTAATTATATATACATTTTACAAGTATATGGGCCAGTTGTGAACTTTAGATTGTCATGCATTTGAATTTTACTTTATTTTACGAGCTTTATTTTACCCTGTCATGTCTGTAAGGGCTTGTTTAGATGGCTCATGCTATCCCAACATGCCACAGGCACATTTCTGTCTGACACTGAACACATTTAAAGTGTCTCAGGCCCCTCCAAACGCCTCCTTACGTGAACCAGAGTCTTGACATATTTAAAACAAATTGGGAAATCGGGGCAGCACAGGGAGACAATGCAATATTTTAGCACTCCAGACAGCCCACACAAATAAACCCAGCTCTCCGTGTGGGTCAGGCAGCCGCGGGCGAGAGGAGGATCATGGGAGGTATTGACGTTAAACTGGAAGAAAGGGCTTTTCACATGGGGACACTCCTGAGGGCGCACAAAAACCATTAAAGCTCCGAAAAGTGGACAGGTAATCAGTTTTAACACATTTAACATGTGAAGAGACAAAGGTTATTAATGATTTGAACAATTTATGAATTGTAAATTATGAAAAAAGCATAATTTTTCTTACATCTGTGGAAAGGTGTTTGAATTTAATACAAATATATAGGTGATGCATGAGATTACGTCATTTTCAGTGGATTATGTTTTGCCACAGTTCCGGTTTCCATGGTAACAGCAACGTCTCTGATTGGTGGATCTCTCTTGAGGACTTCACAGGGACTTTGGTTGTTACACCACCTCAAGAGCTTATAGTAGGTCTGTCTTCTGATATCCCAGGCAAAAAGCCGGGCCGATTCAATCGCAGGGAAACCAGATCCAGGACTCACATGAGCTGGGATTAACACAAATATTTGAGCCCTGCCTTCTTCCCAGGTAACGATACGGCCACCTGACGGCTTCCCACATTACTTCCAACCTCTCACCTCCCAAAACAGTGTTTCAGCAAACGTTCAGATTTTTGGCTGTCGGGCTCCACATATATTGTAAACAGCGGTCTGAGGAGGTGTGTAGGCGTCGTACAGTTGGCCAGTTTCAAGGTTTCTGCGCGTTATAAGTCAGTGTTCATTTAAGAACAACACTCAGCATCTGCTCCATTCGGAGAGATTGGGATTTTTTCAGCGAGGACCACAGGTTCCCCCCGTTTGTGCTGAGCATCGGGTTTCAAAAATGTAAATCTTAGACTGAGGGGAAATTGAACACGGGACCACACAGTGCCAATGTCAAACGCCATGACTGTAAATTCACATGCATCATTTTCAGTGTTTGCTAAGGCTAAGCAATAACAAATGCTTGTTTAGGTAAGCTTAGGTTCAGCTATATGAAATTTCATTAGAACCACAGTTGCTATTATAATGACTAAAATCATGCAGTTTGATTTCTGTCTTCTGCCTATGCAGTTTAAATGCAGCTATATATGTAAAAAAGGAAGACCAATCACAATTCAGTATGCAAATAAAGACGAGCATGATGTCCAATCACAATTCAGTGTGCATATATAGAGTACCGAAGTTACAACTTCACTCTGTAGGCCAAAACACGGAAGTGAGTTAGCATTTTAGCATTCCCACGCTCTAAAGTCTATGGGATTTTTGAATGGGTTTTTGTTAAATCGCCTGAAATAAGGTCTATGGTTAACAAAGCCTCTAAATATTTGACATAAAACACAGTTATAACCTGCTTTTGGTTTTTTAAACTTTGTTGTGTCTGCTTGTGTTTTTTAAAAACTTTATAAAGGCTTTCAAAATGTATATTATGGATTAACTTGTAAAGATTATCATGATAGACAAAACGTGTAAGGGTCACAACTCTTTGTTAAACACAGATCTTATTTTTTGCGATTTTCCAAAAGTCTATGGGGAAAATGCATAGCTTTTTGATCGAGGGAACCCACGCGCCGCTAGCTTCCGCGTTGTCCTACAAAGTGACGTCATCTCTTCGGCACTCTATTGCATGCACTGTGATTGTGAACTAACGCTGCATCCGAAATCTAATATTTCCTATCCCTACTATGTACTATGTGAAAAACAGATGCCAACAAAGTAGTATGTCCGAACGCATAGTATTTGAAAAAAAGTAGACGAAAAGTCCCCGGACGACCTACTACTTCTGGTGAGATTCGGAAGTGTGCATTCGATGGACACTTTACTGTCCCATGAGGCAACGGGAGAGGATTTATGAACAGGTGACACTGGTAGATCACTTGACAGTACGTCCGAATTTCATTCATACTACACTCTAAACAATGCTGGGTTGTTTGAACCCAAATTTGGGTCAAATATGGACAAACCCAAATGTTGGGTTAAAAATGTAATTTAAAATTTTAACCCAGCTTTCACTTTCAACTGCAAATTTTTTAATTGCATTTTAACCCAACATTTGGGTTTGTCCATATTTGACCCAAATTTGGGTTGGAAAAAACCCCCCAGCGTTTTTTAGAGTGTATATAAAACATTTAGCCTGGATCATTACGTTATCAAAGATCACTAACTGATTTCCCTCAGAGATGACTGCTCTGGCTCTGACGGTCGTTAAGAAAATGGGACGTAATGAAAAGCCTGTGGTCGTTGTGGTTTCTCCTTTGGTCACACACATGGAGAAGTAAGTAAAGAAGCAACACTCGTTATTTAACTTCTAAAATAAATAAGTTCTGTTGTTGAAAACTGCGCTATGCAAAGGAGTTGAGTTACTGTGTTGCTCTGATTGGTTGTAGGTTTACCGACTATCCAATTGAGTGCAGAGGTTTTTTTTTTTCCTGGTTCAGTTAAGATATGCCTTATAATCAAAGCCTAACGGAGCGGTTTCAGACTCATATTCTCAATAGATTATGAGTATGACGAAGTCAGGCTATAAAACATACGTTTTTAACGAATGCAGTGTACATTCAAATTCAAATGAAGTACGTACTCAGACGGTTGTATGTTTTCAGTTTTTGTTGAATAATTTCGAAAGGGTTCAGGATTGTCTGTGTTTGTGGTTTTGTGGTTCATGTGTTAGTATTTCACACTGAGAGTGACTCCATTATTTCCTAGACACAAAAGGATTTTCTTCTGAGCCGTACTTAGGAATTTATTTAGCCATTTGGGATTGAAGACATGGTTTTTATTGCATCCCAATTGTAAGATTACGAGTGGCAAGGCATGAGAGGTAGTGAGAGGAAGGCTTGAGCAGGTGTGAATAAAGACCGTAAGTGCTTTCACAATCCACAAGAGGTGCTGACAGTAATTTATGGTTTATATATCTTTAGGATTTCCAACGAGCAGCTACTCAGCTGTAAAAACATAGATTAATTTCTCAAAGGTAGCACAGCGAAGACAGGTCGAGATAATCCCTCTTAAGTGAGCTCGATCATCACAGCATTTCGACATCTGAGAGTGTAGTTTTGAGGTGTGATGCGCCTGTGATGAATAGTGAGCTAAAGAAAGCTGTTCCTAAACCCGTGCCTGCACCTCTCTCTCTCTCTCTCTCTCCCCACACTTGCCTGCATGGGTGATTCTAATTCAAGCTTCATCTCCTCGCCGGTTGTCTCTCAGCGCCTTGGCCCCTTTCGCTGATCTTATCTCCCAATTACTGCCCTGCATACATTCCTGCACTCCAAACAGACTCCGAACCATGGAGTCCATGGGATCACCTGCTTACTTCCTGTTCTACACCAACAGATCACCAACATGTCATTCTTTCAAACTGGCCTTTATACAGAAAATATATTTTGAGGAAACACAGAATCAGTGGTAAAAGATAGCATTTCCAGTGAGTCTAAACTCATAAAGATAGGAAATATGAATAATAAATGATAATAAAATAATGTTTGTCTTCAAGGGCATCCAAGATCGCTTTCCGGTGCTTGCGCAGACCAAAGCGCCCATGCCTTCAGATCACTTGGACGTGGCTGTGGTTACAAGAGGTAAAAACTATGTAAATACTGTTCGTTTTCTCACACAAACCGCTCGTTTCGTGTCTTAGGCCATCAATATGTACTTGCATTTACGAATCATTAAATCATGTTTAATTTGGACTTCTCTGTGCATGCTCTTTGAGGTGGTGACCATAGACCTGCATTATATGACCGACAGACAAGAATGGTTTGACCTAAAAATATCAAAATTGAAAATACTCCGGAAACGGACACCTACATCTTGGATGCCCTTGAGGTAAGCTAAAACATACCAAAAATGTATTTTAAAGTGAACTATCCCTTTAAGCACAAGAATAGCAAATACAAAATTGTCAATTTTAAATTTTAAATTCAAAAATAAAATAGTTTCAAAATTCCTGCCATTATTTTTGATATAGTATAATCACAAAAATCTGCACTATCATTTGGGGTCCGTAAAGATGCTATAATTGATCATAAGTGACGGTAAAGACTTTTCTAACATTGCAATGTTTTGTAATTTTTGTGGTTTTGAACTTTATATTGATCAAAAAATCCTGAAAAAATGATATAATGGTAACACTTTACAATAAGGTTCATTAGTTAATGTATTAACTTACTATGAGCAATACATTTGTTACTGTATTTGTTAAAGCAAAAATAATAAAGCTGTTCTTTGTTAGTTCATGTTAGTTCAAAGTTCTTTAACTAATGTGAACTAGATGTTAATAACGTATTCATAAATGTTGAAATTAACATTAACAAAGATTAATAAATGCTGTATAAGTGCAGTTTATTATTAGTTCATGCTAACTTATATAGTTAACTTATGAACCTTATTGTAAAGTGTTACCAATATAATATGGTTTCCACAGAAATATCAAGCAGCAAACTGTTTTTAACATTGATAATAATCAGAAATGTGTCTTGAGCAGCAAATCATCATATTAGAGTGATTTCTGAAGGATCATGTGACCCTGAAGAATGGAGTAATGATGATGAAAATTCAGCTTTGATCACAGGAATAGATTACATTTTAAAACATATTAAAATAGAAAACTGTTATTTGAAACTATAATAACATTTGACAATATTACTGCTTTACTGTGTTTTTGATCAAAAAAATGGTGCCTTGGTGAGCAGAAGAGACTTCTTTCAAAAACACACAAAAAACTTGCTGACCCCAAATTGACCACAGACGTTTATTACTTCTGATATTATAAAAGGACATTTAATATGGCAAATAAATATGAAATTATTTGAATTAATGCTTTCCAACCATTTAATTTTGATATATTATCAAGAACAATAATTACTATTTTTAATATGCTTTTTGTCATCGTTATAAAAAGTTTCAAAAGTTTACTGGTGCAAACACACTGTTAAATAACTAAATGAATTAAATACTAAAAATAAAAAAACCTTATTTAATAACAAAATATGATAAATAAGAATTAAATTCATATAAATTGGTTCCATCCATCTTTTCTTGCCAGAGACCTCTTTACATATTATTTAACTGATGACAAACATGTGTAAATTAATTTAAATATTGAACTAATTTGGGGCGTATTTCTATTCTCTGCTTATAAGAGGAGAGGAGGTTCTGAGCATGACTGATACTTTAAATACTTTCCTAAATGTCACAACACTGGCAAACGTCCCATAAATCTCAGTGAATTGTGTGAGTGGATCTGGCCGAGCTCATATTTGACCAGTGACGACTCTCCAAACAGCAGTAACTCTGCCCTCCTTCAGCATGAAGCATTACGACCTGCAGACGCTGGGGATCGTAAGCCCAAGGCAGCGTATCAGTCAGCAGAATAACTGACAAGGGCTTCATGGGAAATGACACGACAAAAAAACACCTGAAACCTGGGAGAGCAAGAAAATGGGGGTGAACTGGCATTTGAGGGGCGCCTGATATGATTTAGAGAGCTTTAACTCACCCCTCCTCTAGTCTAGACCTCACCTGCCCCTCAGGAAACATTATGTTCTTACTGTGT